CTGACAGGCTCAGTGTCTTTAACCGCTGAATCATCATGCCACTCTAAATACTCTATGCATATAGTATATGTATGTGTATGTGTACATGTATATGCGTATGTATAACATTACTTTTTAGGTTCGTTGAAAAGTTGGATTTCAGTGTAAGCTGTTGTGTTTGTTTTGAAAAGGGAGATATGATGAGCCAAAGTATTACCTGTGATTTTTTTTCTGACGTTAGAGAAGGTGATGAAAAAAAAAATAGCTGGATGAGTAACTTGTGAAAAAGCACCTTGATACGTTTCATATTTTATGAACACTTTTGCTGGATGCTAATCTCAAGCAATCAGTGAAATCAGTGAATGGATGGATAGAGGAGAGGCTCCTTCTGTATGTCAAGTATCTTGCTCTGTTAACTTACTTCAGTAGAATAGGTTTGAGTCTGGCCAGTGCCAAAACAGGCAACTGTTTTTCTTAGGATTTGAAAGAAACTATTTCACAGCACAAAAATCACATGAGAACTGGGTCAACATGATACTGTGGACAAATTGTCTTACGAACATTATCTTCTCAATATTTGACTTGCAATTCTTCCTTCGGTAGCCTTACCTGAAATTTCTTTTTGATTACTTTGGAACACTCGCCTGCTATTTAACAGCAATTCACCATTGAAAAGTGCTGTAAATACGTCATTGTTTGCATATAATGGGTATTTTAAAATTGTATTATACAGTTATTGTGCTGGGTGACCTCTGCCACAGTTTATTTGCTGGATGTCACCCTTTCATTTCTGTTGCAGCCATGCTTCAGAGTAGTTTCATTTTTCTATGAAGGACAATGAATGCACAAAGCCTTCAAACATGGAGCAGTAATTAGTCTAGGAAAGATCAAAGTGTGCTCTTCTAAATCCAGCCAATTTGCTGTGGTTGTGCAAAACCAATAGTCTTTCTTTTGCCTTGGTCTCTTATTAATTTTCACTCTCGTTTGTTGCAGTGCAGCTGCTTTCTTGTCAATCCACTGTGCTACTTTTTAAAAAATCCATTTTGAAGTCACAAATGCAATTTCAATGAGCCTTAGGCATAATGAGTAGCTTTCTAAAGACAGCCTATTTGAAATGGAAACTCAAAATGAAGAAATTCTTTGCATTACATATAATTTTAAAGATTTGGCCAATTTTAATTAGCACATTTTTATTTGTATTTCACCAATACATAAATATGTGCCACTAATTTCTCCTAATATATTTATCTATGCCTATTGCTCACTAATGCATGTTTTATGTACATCTGGGAAAACCCGAATCTGAAAGCTTCCCGGTTTTCCTCACCCAGTTGAAAGTTCAAGATCTTGCCTCCACACCCACAAGTCCATCACATGGTCCAATCTTCCACTGCCATACTGGCAGTCCCACCCATCCAATTCTGGTCAGGTGCAGAGGTGCAGAGACAAAGGATGACCTTGGCTTTCTAGAAAGAATTTTGTTGTGACTACATAGTATGTGACTCCTCACAATCCCCCTTCCCATTTTCCCACAATAGAAAATGCATAGGAGAATAATAGAAAGTACGGCAGGCCAAAGACCCCCCAAAAAAAGATGGCTGCCAGACTGACACTCATATTTTTCCAAAGCAAAAACAATCTTTTTTTGCTTTGAATACAGGTACTCCTCAACTTACAACAGTTTGTTTAGTGACCATTCAACTTACAACGACACTGAAAAAAGTGACAGTTATGACCTTTGCAGCATCGCCATGAACATGTGATCAAAATTCAGATGCTTGGCAACTAATTCATATTTATGACCGTTGCTGTGTCCCAAGAACATGTGACCCCTTTTGCGACCTTCTGACAAGCAAAGTCAATGGGGAAGGCAGATTCATTTAACAACTGGGTTAATAACTTATCAAATTGTGATTCACTTAACTACTGTGGCAAGAAAGGTTGTAAAAGAGGGAAAAACTCACTTAACAACAGAAATTTTGGGCTCAATTGTGGTCGTAAGTCGAGGATTACCTGTAAGGAAGACTGGTGAAGAGCAGAACTGGAGTAAACCATCTCAAAACAAACACAAACTCAAAGCCAATCTAAAATTTATCTGAATATTTTTAAAAATATATTTAAAATTTAAAGATATGTACACAGTATTTATACTGAGGAAGTGTTAACTGAACTGCCTTGGGCAAACTTGCGGCAAACCGAGTCACAACCTGTGCTTAGTCAAAATGTAGCTTTAGCTTCATATATTGTGTGAATGCAAACCCAGAAAACTGTTTTATTCTACAGCTCTGGTGAAATTAGTTATTTAACCTGTTAGGTATATTATTTGACAGAGATGGGCTTTGCATTGTTTAGACAGAAGGACAGAAAACAAGGCATGCAATAAACAAACCAAGCAACAAATGATGGCATTTTGCAAAAAAAAACCTAATGCTAGTTATTTTGCTTAGCAGCAAATGGGGCAGCATCTTCATCGCAATGGGGAAAACAACAAAACTCCTAAATATTCGAAGGAGGCATTCTTTGGGGAAGGTCATGGGTTACCTGCAGGGGAGCTGATTCTGCTATTATTCCTAATTATTTATAGAACATAAACAATCATTAAATAGCAGGTTCTTTTTTAAAAAAAAGTAATTACAATTTAGAAAACCGCACAAGGAAGATGACAGGTGAAAGGTGGAAAAAATAGCTAGGCTTTATTGACATAATGGGGATAATGCTATGATTGGAGTTATACATGCCTTAACCTGGTTGTAAATTTCTCCTAAGATATATTACCTATTTGTTGGAAAGCTATGTCCTGTGAAGAGGAAAAAAATTGCATGGGGGGGGGGAGAGATAAGGGGGAAAGAAGGAAGCTGTGTGAGGGAAAAGGTCATGTGATCTATCCTTTCCCCAGATGTTCACTTGAACTCCATCAAGAGAGCACATAACGGGGCATCTCCTAGGGTGTTTTTCGTCCTAATGGTGTTTTCTTCGCCTTTTTTTTTTCTTAAAGAAAAACCACGAGCTTTTCCAGCCAGATCCCAGATGAGTGTTTCCCTGCAGGCTGTGCGAACAGCAAGAGAAACAAATTGTCTCGGAGAGATTGAGAGAGCCAGGCAGGCACACTAGAAAGCGAAAGAGGAAAGAATGACCTGTGAATGTTGCCCTGTGGTTTCTGCACTGAAGTGGCTGCATCTGGGCCACCTGTTGATGGCATGATTGGAGCATTAGCCCTTGCCTGGCCTCAGCACCATTGATAACTCTGCTTAACGTCGCCACAGGGGAGCCTTTGTTGGAAGCGGCAGTCACTTTGCCTGAGCAATGGTGTACATTGGCTCCCCCATTCAAGCCTTTTTTCCTGGACATTAGCACATTTGAATGGGCCACCAGAGAAGCTATTCAGTGAGAACATGCACCAGGGCTTCTGGGTGGCCTGGGGTTGAGCCAAAAACTCTTGTTAATGGACTGTGAGTCTCAGCCTATTGATGTACATGAACTCGGTGACCAAAGAAAAGTGAGACAAAGATGTCCTGCACAGGAACAGATAGGTCACAATTGGACAAAAGCAGGCTGTGTCCAGCCAGAGCTGTTTGATTACCAAATGCAAAGCAGGATATCTAGGGACATGGGGTTGCTGCTGTGGAAATGATTTAAAAGCAATGTCCTTTTATGCAGCAGCATTACCTGCAGGCTCAGGAACCCCCTCCAGATTCAGAGAATCCTTTGCGATTCAACCAAGAGGTAGTTGCAATTAGCTGAATAAACATCCTGTGAATTTCATTGAATAAGGTGCATTCTGTCTTCCATGTGGTTGTTCTAGCACGATTCCCTAAAACAATGGCTTCATAAACAAAAAATGAACACGTGCAAAATATAATCACAAATTGAAATGTGTTTGCATCCCAAGTACATTTAGGAGAATAGGTGATTATAAACCTAGGGTGGTCTTTTAACCTGGTGACCTTTAGATGTAGCTTTCATAATTCCCACTACCCATACTAGCTAGTTGGCACTTGCTGATGTACAGTCTTGGTACAGCTGGTGAAGTCTTATCTTGTCAATTCAATTTGTCAATTTTAATAGATTTGTATGCCGCCCAATCCCGGAGGACTTATCTTGACTATAAGAAAACAAGAAGAGTCCCATGCTCTGGTTTCTCTTCAGATCGTACAAATCTTTCACCTTTTAAAGAAAATAAGAAGAGCCTTAGCTGTGATAAATACATCCTAATTGCCACATGCCCAAATTTTGAACAGATTACTATGGGCCTACGACAGTCATAAGTGTGAAGATTGGTCATAAGTAACTTTTTCTGTGCCATAATCACTTCAAACAGTTGTTAAACAAATGGTTGTAAATCAAGGAGTACATATAAAACAAAAATCCATTCCTGCCTTCCTTGCCTTCCTTCCTAATACATTGTTATCTGAGGTTTCAGGGAAAGCAAAATACAAATTGTCTAAAAGATAACGGTTCAGATTTACAGGAATTGAAATCCCTCCCTAAATAGATAGGCACTTGCTGGTGGCAGATATTCTCTAGGTGTCTGGTGGTAATGATATGTCAGGTTGGCTTTTAACTCACAAAGAGGACAGAGCGGATATTGGCCTTTGGCCCTTGACTTCTTCTTTTCCTAGAAATCCAATCCAACTGAATAATTTTGTTGTGTCTCAGTTTTTTGTGCACTTGTTCACTTGAGCCAGTGAGGTTCATTTGAGGTGACGGTTCATTTGATCTGGCTATCAGAGAGCTAACTCTGAGCTGCATGTCAATTTTTTAGCAATTCTTTTTATCGGCCATGTCTCAAATAAAACCAATAGCAAGTTATCAATAGATGTGGGAATTACAATTAAAACTGTGAAACACTATAGTAGTGGAAAAGAAAAAAAAGCAACTTTTATGAAATGCCAAATGCTAGCCATAAACACGCATCTTTTACTTTTTAAATATTTTAAAAAGTAAATATTATCTCTCTCTGCCAAGAGAGATAATATTTTAAATATTATCTCTCTTGGCAACATTTCACATGCAAGACTTACCCCATTCCTTATTCATTGTTGAATTCTTCCTGAAGATCAGAACTTGTTTCTCTTTCATTAAACCAAATCTGCAGGGGATAGGATAGTAAGCATAAGAATCACGAAAGATTACTCATTCCAGTTTTGACAGCCTGAAAATCTCTCATTGTTTCAAGAGCTGGCTCTAACTCAGTTTAAACATTTGTTTCCATAGGTCTCCTTAATAAGTATTCCCTAGTCAGTTTTACGAAGGTCAAAAATAAAACATGCATCCAGTTTTTTTTTTTACAGTTGTTGCTGCTGTTCAAAGAAATATACTGTACTTGCTAGTTTAGTAATCATTTTTCGATTATTACAATGGTGGGATGTAAACAATTTCATATGCATATCTAGTAATACCTCACCCCATATACCAAACTGTTTCTTTAATGGTGCAGACTAAAGGATCATCTTTGCAGTACTTTACAGAACTCTCAATCTCTATTCTGCTGCTGGTGCTGTGTACATAAAAGAGTTAAATCTGGACTAATGAAATTTGATTCTCTTTGGAACTGTCCATGCAAATCTAGCAGTATTGTGGGAAATTATGTATTGATCAATTGATCAATAGATAGATAGGTAAATCTTTGCCGTTGTTCATGTTTCTCTGTCTCCCTGCTTTTGCCTTTTTAATTCAATTCTGCCAGTTAACTTTTTTAAAAAAAGATTGCTGATGTTTAATAAATACAAAACTATAGTTTTGCTAGCTGAACGGAATGACACATACTGTACTATATGCTTGCCTTGATTTGAGTATCGAGAGTGCCTGAGTGTGTGATGTGTGTAAAGGAAACAGTAAATTCTCCTTCTTCTGTGTATAGATCAAACTTTACATTGGCAGAATGAAACCATCTTCTTGGCTTTGTCATTAACAGTAAATTAACCACTAACAAAGAAGCCACATTGAATTCACTGGACATAGTTCCATAGGTCTGTAGTCTGAAAGTACATTTATCTGCCTATTATTGTTGGATATGAGATGGGCAGCAAATTTGTTTATGAACAAACAAATCCAAACATTTAAACAATTGATTTCAGGTAGACAGTGATGATTTACAATGGTTTCTAATTTGTGAAAAAAAGGGAAGGTCCTGGGAGGGTGGCATAGATGAAGGGAGCATGCAGGGAGGTAGCATGGGCCGGAAATGATGCACAAGGATCCTCCCCCCCCCATCAGGCAGGTAAGTGGCTGCTGCTGGTCAGAAGAGAGTGAGGGATTGTGAGACAATGTTCACAGAACATTGAAAATGAAGATCCCGTGACTGCAGCAGCTGCAGCAAAGCTGGTGGTACTGAAAAAGTCACAACCTTCCCAAGTTTCATTCCTTTTGGAATCGTGGTTCCTGGATTTTGGACACATTCTATAAGTTAGCCCATTTAAGGTACCTTAGCTCAAATATTGTTGCCCTGTGATGCCCTGTTTTTCCCTGTTAAAGGTTGTGACAATGAGAGTTTTAGTAATATATCGATGGACTAACAAGCAACCTTTTATCCCTAATTGGAAAAAACAAGTGCCAGCGAAGTCTCCTGTTTTTTATTCTTTGGCCCGTGTCTTTCTCCCTTTTAACCTTTCTCCTCTCTTTATTAGGAAACTGATATTAATAATGGCCTGAACACATGCCAATGGTAGCTCACACTAATGATTCAGAGTTCTAGTTTGAAACACAACGTTGCAAGGTTAGAGATGGTACTCATAGCAATCATCCACTGAAGTGAATTCTTTAGAGTGCACCATAGTTAGCAGAAGCAATCGAGGCTCAGTTGACAAAGCCAACAAATGAAACTACCTGGGACCAAAATTATGAACATCAAGTACACTTTACCTCTGAGAGCAATAAAAGTGGCACATATAAATATATAGTAAATCAACTACAGTTCAGGCATAATCTTGGAAAAAAAAGTACTTTGCCAGACTTGAAAACTATAGGAGAACATAGTTTCACAATCTTATTTCTGCTGTACTCATAAGGTTTTTGATCATCAATGTTCAGCATATGGTGAGGTTTGTGCCATTACCTGGAGTCGCTAATTATAGTAGTTGCTTTGAACCTTTGGTCGACTTCCCACTTAAGTATTTCTGAAAATTGCCACTTTCCCCTTCTCTCCATTTGCTCTATGCACATAAGCCATTATCTCAGCCCCCATTTTGACCAGTTTAATGTAGCTGAGAGCATTACACTGGGGTGGGTGGGTGTTGAATAGTGAGGTTTCAGAAAATAGTACAGCAATAACAGTGAACTTCCACTGCCACCCAACACCCATTTGATCAAATTGAATTACAATATGAATGGGTAAGTTTTTGCAATCTGCGTGCCAGACCATGTAGTAGTGTAAGCCACACCTCAGCATCAGTCTATGACTCTCCTGCAGACATACATCCTTGGCTACACATTCATCTCCTATACAGCCATTATGTATACACAATATATACATGCCTACAAGCTCCCATCAAAGGCCAGGCAGATTGCTGTATTTCTATTGTCCTTGGCTGTTTTCCTTAGAGAAAAGAGGAAGATGTGAATAATACCTGAATAAGCAATGCTTGCATTGTGGAAGAATCAACATTTTCTTTGACACTGAAAATAGAAATGCAGCAATTCTGATTGTTGAATCAAAGCAAGAAAAAGTGTTTTGATGTAAGTATGACTGGATTCAGTGACCAAGGACAAGCAAATCTGTAATTCTATTGTAATCTGGACAGAGTTGGGTTGGATAGTGAGAGGGGAAGCAAATAATTTAAATAATAAAATATAAAATAAAATAACACATATTTGCACAGTTTGAAGGTGATATGGAGTTTAGGCATTGGAGACATTGGAGCTGCCCCATATTGCAGGAGGCTATTTCATGTTCTCTAGCAAGTAGCTATCCCCTGCATTCTGAACATAATTCTTCATTTACAATAGATGTGTAATCATATACCTTACTATTGAGTGACCTATTTAAGGTGGGAAACTAGGAAAGTGTTAAAGGTGTGTAATTCACGAGCAGATAATAACCTCTCCCAATGATTCACTCAAGTGAGGACTTTCAGCTTGTTTTTCCTGCTTACCCATCTGGCATGGGGCAAATTTTATCTGAAGGAGAATAATTCACCTTGAAAGATTATTTAAAATTTAACACTCCTAAAACACAATGCTTGTCTTACATCTCCAATCCCTGTTCCAAACCCCTGTTGTTGTTTTTGCATGCTGAATGCCAATGATCATTTCTGGGGATTTTAAAATTAGTAGTCTTAACCCCAGTGTTTATGCCTTTAAATCACTAGTCTTAATCTCAACATTTATGTCTCTTTATTTAATATTTATTACCCTAACTATGTCAATTTTTTTTAACGATGGAGTCCCTCAGAGTATAGAAGCATCCTCTGAAGCTTTCTGCGGGGTTCTCTGTGTGCTGAAACAAGTGGTTAGTGAAGAATTTTCTCAATTGAGAAAATGCTCCTGATTATAGCATACACAAAAGCAGGGAATTGGTCAGTAGAGCTTTAAGGATAGGAAGCAAAGAAAGAAAAAGAACTGCCTCTAAGTCTTAATTTGCTCATTTCTGATTCCTAGTCAATGTAATATATGAAGCTAGGATTTTGTGTATGGCATAGATTTCTGTAACAAAACACATCTCCATGACCATAATTAAGATGTCCCCCTTGCAGATAGGATTGTTAGCTAGATCAGACCATCCTTTAGTTTGTGGCAACCAAACGCAAAGGAATAGAAACCAATTTAGGATGGCAAAAATATTTTAGAGACCCTAAGAGACACACTTCAGACATGTTTAATTTTCTTTCTGCATGACTAGAGATTTCTTAAGTGTCTGCTCCTGACCTAAGTGTATTTCTCATTAGATCCTACTTAGATACTGAAATAACATTTTATTATTTGGAAGACTGAAAATATGCAGCAGGAGTTTAGCGCCATTCCTTTAAAAAATACTTCAGTATTTTGACATCCTGAAAAACTGAATGCAGCTCATTGAAACTGTAAAAAAGAAAAGAAAAAAGAAACCAAGGTTGCCTTTAATCTGAATAACGTCAGGAAACCAAACTATTCATCGTTCTTCACAAAGAGGTCATATCCTTATCTGTTTCTTTGAATATGCAGGACACATCTATAGGGCAATACCATAAAGCAAAAATATTTCCATTTTAGCATTCAACTTATGTAACCTTTGGCAACATGTGTTATCAATGGCTCTTTGTTGATTTTTTTTTTAAAACCGTAAGGATTTACAGGGCATTGCTATAGCAACACAGTCTGTCTTCTAACACCACCAAAGAGGTTATGAATAAAAGATGGGGGTCTGAAGACAACCAAATAGAAAAAAAGGAGTTTCAACCTTTGTGATACCTGACATTTGCAGTTACTTTGTAATACGTAGAAATTAAAAAAATCTTAGGAGAAGATATATCTTGATTAGAAAGTAGCACTAATTTATCTTTTTTTTCCTAGGGAATACACACTTCATACAGTTTGCCTTTGAAAATGGACAATAAAGCAGCAATGTTATATTTTTTACTTTTCAGTAAAACTCATCCATGTGAGCGATACTTATTTCAAATCATGTTGTGCTTTAATTGTGATACAAATAAATTAGAAATCAGAAGGTTTATTGATTGAATTAGAATTGTTCTCAGCCTGGCTGTTTAAATCATAGGTTGTTGAATAGACCGTAGTGGATTGGCTTACACATAAAAACAGAATAGCAGAAATAACAGAAAAACCGAGTTGGAAGGGACCTTGGAGGTCTTCTAGTCCAGCCCTCTGGTCAAGCAGGAGATCCTATACCATTTCAGATAAATGGTGGTCCTATCTCTTCTTTAAAAACTCCAGGCAAAGTCATTATAAATCACAACCACACAATTGAAAACAGTGTGCTGGACTAAATTGGATAGGGGTCTAATCCAGCAGGGTACTGCTTATATTCTGATGGTCAGATAAATCACAATATGGCTTCACGCAATTTGTAAATCTATTTAAAATAAGCAGGCTTGGATTTGGATGGTTTTTGGATTATAGCATCCATTATGATTAGTAGATATAAAATACACAAAAAT